GTCTTCCGGCCCATAACATATTGCCTTCCGGCCCATAACATATTGCCTTCCGGCCCATAAACATACATAGCAATTAATACATTTATCCTAACACATATAGCACATATATCATATATCATATCCTACCTTTCAGTCACATAACATATTGCCTTCCGGCCCGTATAAACATACATAGCACGCATAGCAAATACCTTACCACTTATAGCACGTATAACACAAATCATATCCGACCTTCCGGTCACACAGTCAAACCCTTCCGGGTACAGTATAGTGAGAAGACTCACCTCGCGAGTAATGAAAGCTAGCGACTCCTGAAATCACTCGCACTCGATCCGCCGAGCTACAGACTCCCTATAATATCATATATCCCTTATTAATACTTTTATCTTTCAAGACAACTGACCCTAAGAAATTACATGAAGGTCAACTCTGGTCAACGGTCAACTTGACCGGACTCGGCGAGTGCAAAGGCGACTCGGCGAGTCTAGACGTCCTCCCCAATTCCCTGATGTTCCCTTTCTACTCGTCGAGTATCCCTCTTGGCTCGACGAGATCCTCGTGGAAGAATCGCGGGGCCACCCCGACTCCACTCGCCGAGTCTGAAGAACAGCTCGACGAGTCCCAGTCAATCTCCAAGCTACTCGCCGAGTCTGTTCATTGGACTCGGCGAGTCCACGCCATGCAGTCGATCAAACTGCTTCCTGAGATAAGTATTGTCCCGAAATACACAGGCATGGGACCTTCTGGACCTCTAAAGGTCCTAATACATGGTTATAGTCGTTTGGGTAACAAGGTAACAATCAATCTAATCACCAAAAGGGTTCCATAAACCCTAAATCCATGCACACATCAACATAGCAGAAATGATCCGAAATATTACCTGAATAATGCACTCTCTGTGTCCCCAATCCTCAGAACTCGATTCCCTTGCTGTTCCTTTAGCCAAAACTCCTCTCCTCCTTGCACAACAATTTCTTCAAGGTCACCAATGGCCTTCAATCTTGCTCTAGATGCCCACAACCGATTAGGGTTCTTCTCAGTCGACTAAAGACGGACAATGACGGCCTATAAGTGCATTATATACGTTCCAAAACCAAACGGCTAGGGTTTCCGCTGAACAGCGCAGACTCGCCGAGTCCATAATGGACTCGTCGAGTCCAGTCGCGAACCCGCGACCCAGTCTGTGGTCCTACTCGGTGAGTCTGGCTCCAACTCGCCGAGTCCCCTCCTAAAACACCCCAAAAACAATATTATAAAAATACCTGAAATTCCGGGCTGTTACAAGCGGAGGATACCAAACCAAAAACACAAAGTGCTTCAAGATGCTCAAAACTGAAAACCTATTGTTCTATGTGACATCCCCAAAATCACGACCAGAAAAGACCGGTTTTGTTTATACTTTATTTTAAAATCAGAGTTATCTTTTAATAAAAGGGTTGCGGAATTTGTCCCAAACAATAATATGATAAAGATTTATCAAAAGCATTTCCTTAGAAATGTATTTCATTAAAAGACTTGGGATGTCATGTTCGATACAGTACATAAGTATAAACAATACAATATAAGCCTTACTACATTATTTCATATCTACTGGCCTATATCCGTAATTCCTCATCCAAAACAGCACATCTGTGCTCATGCGCCACTACCTGTAATACATAAAACTGAGTGGGTCAGGCTTGGGAGCCTGGTGAGCACATAGGGTTTTCAACCCACAATAAATAAGTTTATTAATTTCATCAATCAACAATAACCTGATTACCCGTTCCTGTTATCCTCACATTACATCCCTAAACACCTATCATAAGGGACCTATCCTAAGGATCATCATTGGGATGGACACTATTGCTAAGGGGGTTCCTCAACAATAAATGTCCTAAAGGCAACCATGTGGGGGATGGAGTACACCGGTGAACACATCGTTCACAACACCTACAGGTTGCGAGCCTTCCAGCGTTCCACTGGACTGTCTAGAAGAGTCCGTGGTCGTCATCTATACTCCGCTAGATGACTGGATCAACAACAACAACATTGAGGCCTCTCATCATTTTATCACACATCGTCTTATTATATCTACCCATGTTTTACCCCAATATTTTTTGTGGATATAAAATACATATACAGTTTAAATCATTTAAAACTTGTATAAAAACATTCATCTAGCATAGATAACAAGTATACAGATAATATACACACATAGCACGTAATATATAAAATACTTCATATCTATGTGTAAGATAAAAGTAACTATGCACTCACCTGAAAAGGTGTTGATTCCGAACTCAGACAGTGCTTCGCTTCTTAAAAAGAATTTTCTTCGACGAAACCTAGTATTATTACCACTAGAGTTTAGTCTATTATTCGCCGAGACTAATTAATAGTCTAGCTATTATTATTATTATATAAGCGTTAAAAAAATACTTAATAAGCCATAATAATAGCCCAAGTATTTATTATAAGTTCCTAATAACGTTACTATAATTCAATAAAAGCTATATTAAAAATAGCGTAGGCGTAGCTCACTTACAGCGGGTTTTATAGAAAACCAGGTTTT